TTTTAGCGTCGCCACGAGCGTCAGCAGTCCGTCGTGCGGCGCTACCTTGGCGTAGACGACGCGGTTGCCAAAAGCGCTGACGCCGTCGAATGTGACATTCGATGTGCACAGAGTGTGCAGTAACCCCTGGCATTCGGCCAACACGCGCTTGGCGGCGTCAATCTCGTCGAGGGTCTTGAGGCGCATCAGCAGCAGCGTGCAGTGAAACCGCGCTGGTGCGAGCGCCGACGGTGCCAGTCGCGGGTCGCCGCGAAGAATCGCAGCTTGCGCGTGCTTGCATGCGTCGACGACGCTAGAGTCCGTGATGCGAAAGCACAAGAAGGTGTTCGGGCGGTCCGTGTTGGCATGGAACGTAACATTGGCCGGCGTCACGGCGGCGACGGCAGACGACGGTGCAGGGGCGGCCGTCGACGGTGAGAACGCAATCATGTCGTGACCAGACGAGCCAAAGACGCGGTCGAGCCGCACGCGCTTGTCCCAAATGATCTCGTCGCGCCATTTAAAGTACTGGATTCGGTGCTGCGGGATCGCCGTCTCGTTCTGCGACAAGGTCGCAATGTCGGCCCAGTTGAACGCCGCAAAGTTGCGCTCGACCGTACCAACAAACCGATCGAGGTACCCGACAATGACCTCGGTTTGCGTAATGTTGTCGTCCCAAAGGATGCGGTGGATGACGTCGGTCGCGGTGCGCATCGACTTCTTCTCTGCTTTCGGCGACGTTGCTGCAGGTGCCTTTTTCTTGGTCTTGGCGGGCGACTTGGTGCTGTCGTTGTGCGAGCGAGGCGAGAGATTTAGATTCTTGTTGCCACTAGCGCGGTGGCGCTCGACGGTATCTTGCTGAATCGATGTGCAGCTCATAGTGTAGGTGTTGATGATACGGTGTAAATAGGATTGTGCGTACTGGCAATATCGACGTCCGCGGTTGTGTCGCTGGATTGTTGCCGTACATGTGAGAGTGATGGTAGAACCGCGCCAGAGGAGCAGATTGGCCAGATCGAAATTGACCATCACTCGCGAAACATCGTTTTGGAAAACTTGGACATTTCGGGTTGTGCGGGAGACCAACGCTTTGGTTACCCAGCAAGTACACGCTGAGTACTTGATACCTACAGCAGTGTGCGGGAAGAGCCATCGTTCATGGATTGCAGGGTTGCGTCATCTTCGCATCCAAGTAAACTGTGCAGTCGGCAACAATCCAGCGACAGCCTCCCGTTGGTGGCAAAACTATGACAACCATCAGCTTGATTGCTGTGAGAGCTGTCTCTCATACTAGGTCAGCTACTACGCTTTCGATCGCTAGTATTGCGATAACGTTAGTCTACTACTCGCTCGATTAAATATGAAGCTGGTTCTTCAACAACGTCTTCCTTGGCCTTGGTTCAGTGCGTTGTCAGTCTCCTGTGTAACGATGTCGCACACGAACTTGGCCCACCAAGGTGCTGCTCTCGTTTCGCGTCGGATCACAATTCCTTGGATGGGGCCGTCGTAAAAGGCAGAGTGGGACTAAGATACGCTCGATACGATAAAATGGAGCCGATCTCGAGGGTGCGATACGATGGCAATCATGAAGCGCCTCGCCTTCACCTGGTCAGTTTTGTGTTTTCGACAGTACTAGTTGAAAGTACACGAGGACTAAAATGAGCTTAACAACGTACATCGATTATCGAACAATGCGTCGGATGGTCTATGTTGTGTCGCTCGGCGATAGTGGGCTGCAAGAAGCGTCGTTCGGTTTTGTTGCCGGCTTTTGCGCGATATTTGACTTTTGCGATCTTCCGGTCAGAATCAGTCACTTCAGAATCACATGTTTTGGGGAAAATCTGCTGCCGGCCCGTTGTGCTGTGATTAGCTGGAGGATTGCTATAGCTATCGCTTTTGGGATCTCACGAGGCTGACGCAATAATGCGTTGCCGCTCGCCTTAAGTCACGGAGCTGAGTCGCATTGTGTATTGGGATGCAGTATCTTGAATCAAAAATTTGGTAAACGAGAGTCTGTCTTTCTACCTTTGGCTATCGCGCTCGTTTGGCGTCGAGGTCTTTTGCCATGTGATACCAAAGGTCTTGGCGAGGTCGCTTCTTGCTTGGGCAGTCGGCTCGAACTTTTTCCTTCGGTACCGAAGCGCTTTTCGCGCCAAAAAAGTGTTGATGGCGGATGTCGGCTCGCATGCGTGGCTCATGAGTCGTCCGAGCACTGCCTCCGTGCGCCGCCGGACAAGATCGTCCGTGTACGTCAGCAGCAGCGCACGAGGCTCTCGGCAGTGCGGCATGGCGGTGGAAATCAAAGTGAAGACTGCGAGTACGGGGCAGCAGCCAGCGCCGCGTCTTTGTCACGTCCGCTCCCATCGTGGTGGGGCGCTGATTACGCGCCGCTTGGTGTCGAATCTATGCACCTTGGTGGCACAAAAAGATATATAAATACGCTGCGTCCGGAATTCCGAGATTGCCGAGCCAATCCGCTTGCGTAGCTTGGATCTGTGTTCGAAGGACAAGTCAGTGCCCGCCGCGCGGTTTATGCACACCGACCTGTTGCAGCGCTGGACGATTAAATCGTCCAGCAACAGTGTGCCAGGACGCATGGGCCAATCAGAGGGGTGGGAGCCGTCAACCCAACTCCCCATGCTCCGATGCGACCAGTACACGAGAATCGAGTTGAGCCGTCGCAACGCTCTTATGGTGCTTCCAGGTGCTGTCGGGAAGTTGAGTTATTTTGTCCAGATCAAAGCGATACTCCGAGCGCCGGCTATGTATTTTTGCGTTAAGCCTTCTTGTCTCTGACCCGCCACGGCCAGCGGTCAATCAAATCCCGAAAACTATGTGTACTTCAGCAGCGCCGGATGCAGGACGAATCCACTCTATTTGAGCAGTTAAATACGTTGTTCTATGCGATCGACTAGGCTTTTGTGGCGACCACTGCCTTGTGCCACGTGATGCCAAAGCGAGCGCCGACGTCACAGCCGTCGTTGGATTGCAGCTCGCGTGTTCGGTTGCGGTAGCGCAGTGCCTTTTGTAGCA